GTTCTACAGGGTGTTATCAGTAATTTCAATTTCAACAATTAACTTTAACCGGGAATAAACCATTGACCTTAAATATGTTGTACAGATACTATTAATAACTGTAAAATAAATCAATTAGGATGAGTTGAGAAGCACTGATACCCTCCCCCCAACACTCACAGCTACTGAATTAGGTAAATATCATTTACAAAATTATTAGTAAGTTCCGCCAAGGCCAGTGCTGGTCCAGTAATCAGAAAATCTCGAATGATATAGGACTGACAGACAAAACATCAACACATTACAATATTCCACCGGCCTACAAATACGACACAAAGATAATGTCAGACAACAAAAGAGAACTTTTTCTGAGTCGACAAACACTCGGTAAATACAACAGGTAAACAGAAAGGAGGAGTTAGACAAGCAAATAGACAAGAGAAAATCGTAGGTCAGGACAGCCAACAACAATTATATGAAACTCGCCATGAGGTTAAGGTAGGGAAGTAATTTTACTGACTCTTGTTCTCTACAGGCAGGAATACTGTTGTACACTAAAAGTTCCTTTCAAGGCAGGAGAAACCACAGAACGGGAGAATTTACGGAGAACCTCCACTGCGTGTACAAGATCAGCCAAGCACCCTGATTACTAGGAACGTTTGAAGTCCCTTGATCTGTGCTCCTTGGAATGCAGGTTAGAAAAATACGTCATAACCTACACCTGGAAAATCCTAAAGGGACTGGTCACAAATATGAACACAGAAATCACTCCCTAGGAAAGGCGGCGGCCCGGCAAACGGTGAAACACCCCCAGTGAAGAGTAGGGGGTGCCACGAGTACACAGAAACCACAAGTGTCAGGGGCCCAAGACTTTTCAATAACCTCCCATCATACATTATGGGAAAACCAGTAGATTCCTACCTGTCTTCAAGAGGGAACTGGATAAGTTCCTACAATAAATTACTGAGCAGTTCCTGCTGGCTGCACGCACACTGGACTGCGTGTGGCGAGCAGTAACAGCCTGGATGATGAGGCCCTGATACACCGAAAGCCTGGTCATGGACCAGGCCGCGGGGGCGGTGACCCCCAGCAACACCCTCCATGAAGACCCCAGGTATCTAAGTCGCTTGAAAATCACTGTTTACACTTCAGTTTTTTGTTTACTATATCTGTGCTGAATTTTCTCATCGGTTACATAATTATCTTGCAAGTTTTTAACCACGGTGAAATTAATTCATATTTTTACCTCCTAACTGCCTTAGAATTCATTTTTATTTTACCCTTATAGGTTCTATTTTAAATTCTTCCCATTCGTCTTTTACAGCTTCTTCCATCTCCTCGGATTATCCTCTTCTTTTCCTACCTCTATCTTCCCTTTCACCTTTTTCTCTCTCTTTTCCTCTGGTGTTTCCTTCCATGGCTGGTGTAAAGGCAGTGAATCTTCACAGGACATTATGATGCCAGAGGCGAGACCTTGATTCATGGCGGCTTCCAACACTAACTCACTCACAGGATCCTCCGCTTCATCTCCAGTTTGAAACGAAAACTTTCACACTTACGAAGTTCCTTCACCCCAAGTCCTCACACATAACCTCGCTTCGTAAAACAAGTCTTATAATAAAAACAAAAGTAATGGTTGCAGCAGTTGTTGTAGTCGACTTTCGTAGGCGCAGCTGACGACTTAGCCTGGTTTTTAATCAAACAGGTCTAAGAAGGGATGCAGGGAAACAGGTTAGATGGACTCGAGTCCTGGAGGTGAGAAGGGCTGCGCCAGTATTCTGGAGGATGGGGTGGGGAGGCTGCGGTTTAGAGGAGCATTTGATATGTAAGGTCCGCACATTTCTGACAAGACATTACTGAAGAAATCAACTAGGTAAACTCGCCAGTCGCTAGTACTCACGGCACTACTTTCTGAACACCCAGCGAACGTGAATCAGAGAGAGAGAGAGAGAGAGAGAGAGAGAGAGAGAGAGAGAGAGAGAGAGAGAGAGAGAGAGAGAGAGAGAGAGAGAGAGAGAGAGAGAGAGGAATAGAATCTAAACCAGATATTAGGGAACTACGAAGGTGTGATCAATGTTGTGAGAGGTAGAATGGTAAAAGAAAAGCAGAAAACATTAAAGCAATGGACTGAGGTGTCGAGAGTCTAGACATTCGTAGTAATCATGAGATCTAAGAGAAACAGAACCCAGTAAAGTCACCCAAAAGAATTTTCTTGCTTGCCTCATTAGCCACTATACTTTCACTTAACACCGCCCGCCTTTCCTCCAGAATCTCTCTCTTCTACACTCCTCTCACTCACATTCTGGTCATTTCTCACCTCTCGCATCCCACTCTTATTCTAAAACATGTAATTCTGGAATTAAAACATTGACACCTTATTTAACATTATTCCTGTTTCAATATATTTGTCATTCCATCTTTTTCTCGTTCTTTCAAATACACTTTGACTAATTTCTTCTTAATTCTCCGTACACAAACTCCCAACCTAGGTGACTGGGACGAGTATAAAGGCAAGCAATGCAAAGCTTTCAACGAAAACAAAGTTTCGCTCAGGTTAAAGCTTTATCAAGTTGCTAATAAAGCTTAATCGTGAGCAAAATGTCGCCCAGAATAAAAGTTTTTGTGTTATATGTTTGTACCCTCTCAAGCCTGCTATAAGCTGGTGTTTCACTCGCTGCTGGTATATCCATCATCCCTTCCTTCGTAACATTACGACTCGGCTCTTCAACAAATGCAACACATCCTTGGCAACCTTCAAATATATTCTTACTCTGGATGTGATAGACATGAAGTTGTCAAATTTAACACAAATAAAAGAGTCAAGATGCGCACAACTATCAACACTGCATCAGCTGACAGACATGATACAGTTTTTTTGGTCACTAACAACGGCGAATATGGATACAGTCTCGATATGAATCTTAGGGCCTTCTGTTGTCTGCCTTTTCCAAACACTGCTACTGTTTTTCTTCCTGTTCTTCCTTCTCTTGCACCTCCTCTACATGATTCTCTCTCTTTTTTTCCCAGTCCTCCTTTTCTTCTTATGCACCCGCCGCAGCTCACGCCAAGAAACACGACCTGCATAACATTACGAAAATTGAGGGTGATGCAACCTTTCACTGAGATTGTGGGCAGTGTAGACATGCTGCTACATCTAGGTCACATCTCTCTCTCACAAACTGGGAAAGGTAAAAGCAGTGTAAGCAATGCCGGAATAAAACATGGCGTCAACCGGGACATTAGCCCCTGGCAGCCTCAAACGTCATCGTAAGCTTCTCTCTCCTATGTGCCTTTTTGTTTTTTAATATGATGCTCATTGAGAACAAATTTCAGTTAGTTTACTATGGAAATATTTAAACAAAAAAAATGAAAAAAAAGAGAGTACAAAACAAGCTCTAACTACTCAATGAAGTGAAAAAGTAATGTTTGCGGTGGTGATGTGGGTGATGAGAGTGACAGTGAGACCACAGGTTTAAGGATCACATTGTTCCTATCACATATGCAAGGAAATTGATAGGCTGGATAACTAGAACCTCTAAAACAAGAGATGCCAAGCCACTGATGATATTCTCAGACAACTGGCACACCGTCTTCAGCAACCTTCGAAGTCTTCGTAACACCACTCCCAATCGCCAAAATGTTAACCTCTAATACAATCTCGTCGGCACGACTGCATTTCCCAGCCACTGAGAACCGGGGAAAGTCATCCAGTTAATCCCAGGAGACGAGACCAAGCAAACGAGGCACTCTCAGCGAGGCACTATCACACTGCCAAGCTACTGCTCCCACGGGGACGCCGTATGTCACTGATTAAAGAGTCAAAGAGCCAGACCAATTCCCAGGTTCCACTTACAAGGAGTCGTAACTCAAAGAGGAGATCCAATCCGCTCTGCTCATTACATTAGTCGACCAAGTCGCTGATCCTGGGACCGATTGCTTAGTGGTGGGAACCCGAGGGTGCGATAGACGTAACACCAACAACACCAGGAAGAGATAACTGAGATGGAAAGGTTGTGAGGGGAGGGGGAGGGGTTAATGTGCAGAGAGATGGGATAATGGAAGAGAACAATAAAGGGATAATATAAGGTAAGGGGGGGGGGTGGAAAAGGACAAGGTGCCATGTGGGAAGGGAAATGAGGAAAAGGAATACTCTCATGGAGGGAAATAAGTAGACATGTAGGAGGGACAGGAAGAATGGGAGGGAGATAAGGGGCCCTGTGGGAGGAGAATAAGGTGCCCCTGTGGGAGAGGGGATAAGTGGCCTTGTGCAGAGGGGTATGTTATGTGGGAGGGGGAATAAGGGGCCCTGTGGAAAGGTGATAAGTGGCCCTATGTGAAAGAGATTAGGGAACCTGAGGGAGAGATATAAGGAGTCCTGTAGGCAAGAGATAAGAGGCCACATGGAAGAGTAATAAGCTACCTTAAGAGTGCAACACAAGAGTGTAACACATGAATGTAACAACAATCAACGGAAGAGACCCGTCGTGGGTGAGTTTTACCCTGAGGGGTATAGCAACACTCCCTAATTTCACCTTCTAATCTCCCTCACGCTACCTCGTCTCCCTCACGCTACCTCGTCTCCCTCACGCTACCTCGTCTCCCTCACGCTACCTCGTCTCCCTCACGCTACCTCGTCTCCCTCACGGTACCTCGTCTCCCTCACGCTACCTCGTCTAGGAACCAGGTCAAAGGGAACAAATAATGGATGAAGACTTGCATGTGAAGTAGGACACCTTGATAGAAGACCTCCAGGTAGATAAAGAAATATTTCTATGAAATTTTAAGATTTCATTAATGGAAAAGCGTTAAGTCCGTAGGAATCACACAGTGCCTCGAGAAGAGCAAGACAATAAGGTTCGATCCAAGGAAAAGGAGGATAAAGTTTAATTCCATGGATCGAAAGCTCTTCGAGTCTACCTTGAGTGTTCCTGGGGTCAGCGCTCCCACTGCCCGGTCTTAGACCAGACCTTCCTGTGAGGACCAGGGGTCCTTTAGAAGAGTCAGAAGTGAAGGTTTCATACCTTGTACTGTCGCGGCTCTCAACGCTGCTGACGGCGTGGAGTGGCGTCTTGGCCCGAACCTCCTGCGGCTCGTGGTCCAGCAGCACCTCCCTCGGGGACCCTCGATCTCGCCGGCTCCCGCGGGACGAGCGTTTGGACTCTGAGCGTGTGATGCCGTAGGCCTTCTCAGGCGTGCCTGGCAGGGAGTCTCCGCTCTCACTCAGACACGTGCCCTCCAAGTCGAGCTTATCTTCACTGTCTGTACGGTCACACTGAGCGTCCGCCTTGTCGTCCTGATCTAACTCCTCGGTGTCGTCGAGTGTGTCGTTCAGGTCGTGGGTCAGTTCGAGTTCGTCGCCGCTCTTGTTAGCCTCGACCTCGGCCTCGACGCCGTGGCCGTTGGTCAGCTTGGCGGAGCTGCGCCTCTTACTGGATCGTCGGGAGCTGCGGTCGACGCTAGGGCTGTCGACGCTGCGGGTGAGCGTGGGCGCCTCCCGCCGGGGGCTGGGCGTGAGGGGCGAGGGCGGGGTGTCCCTAGAGCTGCGGGCAGAACGCTGCCGCCGCGGACTAGGCGAGGTTCGGTTGGGAGTAGAAGACCTGGAGCGTGACCTGGCCCTCGGGAGGTCGGAGGTGAGGTTGGGGACGCTGGTGACGTAGATGGGAGAGTTCTCCAGTACACCGTTGACGTCGTCTCGCTGCTGCTGTTGCTGCTGTTCCTTGGTGGCGGAGTGACTGGGAGAGCGGCCGCCAGGGCTGGGCTGTCCCCCGCCGCTGCTGCCCACATTCACCACACTCTTGTGAGGCTCCAACTGAAAGTAAACAAAACAAAGTCAGTAAAGCATATTTTAGTGTGCCGCGGAAGGTTGACTATGTGAGAGAGCGCAACACAACGAGTGAACACATTACCATGAACCTAGTATACCTATAACGTTTACACATCCTACCAAAATTCGAGAATACATATCTATAAAAAACCTAGTTAATAAACAGTCCCCATGGCAACTTAGGTGTTTATACCCAGCTCGTCCTCTTAACCACACACAACATGGAACTGTTGATGGAGTCTTCATTATAATCATGGAGCGCTAAACCCGTAGGATTATACAGCGCATGTGGGGGAGGGGGATGAAAGGTATTCTGGCTCAATTTAGAGAACTGGAGCACAGATCCAATTCCTTAGATCAAGAGCCCCTCACCAGCGTCGAGGAACCTCCCTGGAGGGGATGGTCTTCAATAGTTGCAATATAACAATTACATCAGCGGTGCGCAGTGACTGCCCGTTTTCTGCTCGTGCGATAGGCTTTTTTTTTTATCCAGCTTTAAGTTATATTTATAGTTTTTCAAACCTAAGACAACGTAATGTAAAATAACGTAACGTAATGTATGAGGGAAAGCTGATTAATAGTCTTGGGTCCCTTGCACTTATGGTGTTCTTCCAGTGTATTCATGGTACCCCTGCTTTTTATTAGGAGGGTACTACACTGGATAGTCTGCCAAGCCTTTTGCTGTCGTAGAAAGTGATTTCTATGTGCAGATTTGGGACCATTCCCTCTAGGATTATCCATCACAGCCTGGTTATAGTACCTGAAGATACTTGACCAGTTTCATTAAACACTTATCTCAGCAGTGTTTCTGATATCTTCTGGTAAGATGTTGAGTAGTTTGTGGCCACGGATGTTGATACACTTCACTGTATCATTACACGATTCACTGCATCCTGTCTTATTCCTCTACAACTGAATTTGATTCCTTTCCCGATTTCAACACAACAAAGTACTTGGCTACTTCCTGTATAATTAGTCTTCGCAAAACTTATAATTATCACAACTTCGAGTCCATGACATGATCGGAACACAGGAACACTGTTGCTATGAAACTTGCAGTGGTTTGCAATACACTGCAACAGCTGGCTACCCGTAGCCGATTCTGGAGGTCATCACCCCCGCGCCCCGGTTTCCTGGCTAGGCATCTTAGCTAACGTCCTCAGCAATTAACCTACTGGTAGTAGCAGTTCGCAGCTCAATGTAAACAGTACAGCCCAGTTGGTCAGGAACAGAATATCTGTGGTAAATGCTGTGACCTTTACGGCGCACTTGGACCACGTAGCTCAGTCTGCGCTCACAGTCATGAAACAAACACACACAACTCACAGAGAAAACAAAGATAAAATAAACACACAACAAAAACAAGGAACATAAGCATTCAACACAAACACTATCAAACCGAATAGTGACAAATCAACATTTTTCTCATCTACAATAAGAACACACACACACACACACACACACACACACACACACACACACACACACACACACACACCTTACAGCCTGTGATTGAGGTTATCACGCTCCAGCACTCTGCAAGTGTAACATTCCTTATTCTCCGGGATACATCATCCAGGCAGCGTCATTTCTCGCAGGACCAGATTCAAAAAATGCAGCGTTGGCCACATGCAAATTTGTGGATCAGGGTCCAGCTGAAAGTGAGCTGGTGTTGCCGCAGTCCAGCTGGTTGACTGGTGCCGCCTCCTTGAGCGTGTGTACTCAGCTAGTTATGTCCGAAGAGGTCGAGTTATAACCCCTGGTCTCGTCACTTCTCTCACCGATCAGATTTACTGATTCCTGACGAGACACTGGTCGTAACTACTTCAAAAAACGATACCGTTTATCTCCAACACATCTAATACTTCCTGACATCCACCTGGATAATTTCCCTCTTTAGCCGTCGTCTGTGTTCCCTGGTTTCTTTGTGTAGGGTGAGGGGTTCCACACTGGTTCTACATATTCCAAGGTGGATCTCCTTCGTACGTTGGGTATAATGCTTTAATTGATACTATTAATATTACTAAAAGATGTGCAAGCTCGTGTCTAGCGAGCTACAACCGAAATATTCTACCAAATAACAGCAGTCTTGTATGATATGAATTCCCGAGACAGCTGTGTAACACAATGATCAACACAAAATGATCTTGAATCATAACTACCAGCAATACTTTACCCAGCAAGCGGCAGTGTGCGAGTGTAAACACACGCACCAGAATACTCTTGAATGTATTACAAACCGAGTATAGTTATAAATTTGCTGCTTATTTATGCTAATGACGTAGTTTTTTATAACAACGATTATTAACGTGAATAAATTCTACACACTGTTTCAGTAAAAGAGTATTACGTATGCTCTGATTCCCTCGTGTCACGCATCGTAAACTGATGACGGTAAAGTTCTGTAAACTCTGTGAAACTGGTCCACTCCACCGAGTATCAGGTCTGGTTAATGAGTACATCTTGTTTCCCATTGGAAGATCAGAACACAAGTGTTTGTCTCTCCAACACTCCAAGGTAAAGCTGGGTAGTGGGTAGCATGGCATTGCTCGTCTCAACTATATCCCAGCAGCTTCCTGGGGAGGATGGCACTGCCTTGTCTGCCCAGGGAGGTAGACTAACGCCCCAGGGACGAGAAGCAGGAAAAGTTACACTTCTGAGTTTCACATGGCCTTCTGTTTGCAAAGCTTAAAACTTCTATAATGTTCTGGTCTAAAGTTTAGAAGCAAGATTAGTTATCTACCTGTTTTCGAAGTCACAGCCTCCAAGACCCAATCCTGCTCAAGTCTCCTGGCTGCTGGCATGATTAATTAGGTTATGTGTACCGGCAGCACATACTCCAACTATCTAAAGGAATCAGTGAAGTTTCTTCTTGAAGACAGCTGGAGTATGTCTCAATGTACGTACTTACTGCACCATGGCTTTCATGCTGGATACTTAGCACCATCTGGCAAGTTTCTTTTTCTCGTAGAAGTAATTTTAGCGCGAAGATTTGTAACCGGTCCCTCCACCATTTTCCTGGTATACATTATGATGTAGCTTTCCCGCCTGCGTTCCAGGAACGTACGTTCCATTGTACGAACGTACCGGTCGAAGTTAGAGACATCAACCTAGAAATAGCTTAGAGGATACCAGAGATAATTCAACTGGGGGCGTCACCATCGCTCAGCATTAGCTCTCAACAATGAAGATAAACACACTGGGTCTCACACACTAACTGCATTAGTGGTCACAACACTCCTCGTACATGCCGGAACTGATTCCTAAATATAAGCTTTGCTTTTATGAGTTCGCTATGTACTATTTTTGCCATTCCACAGCAAAAGTAGTGAAGGAATCCACCTGTGTTTGTGCACCCGTTAATATAGAAGTTTCAACTGGAACGGGAAGTGAAATCTGCCTTGACATTCTCTAAAAGCAACATTTCTTTCTTTACATTTTTTGTATACAAGAATATTCCACCTTAGAGAGTAAAAGTGCTTTAAAACGGTGTTCTTCAAAGTACAGGGTCGGCAGATGGCTTCATTGGGTTCTCAGTAAAAATGAGTATCTTTCTATTTGATTTTCTGCTCGGACAGTTTAAAACCAGATAGAAAATAAGAGATGACAGTGTAGGGGATAGAGAGTACTTGTAGCACTATCATCACGTGAACCAGAATGTGCTACAGTAACATGCAACAGGAAGGTCCGTCAGTCACATTGAGCAGGAAAATTCAAACTGATTAATCATCTTTGTATAATGTATATTTAGTTAACAGAATGTATTTCCTTAAATACAATATGGCTTGACGCATACAAAAATCTTTACATTATCTGTTATGGTGTTTCACATTCTGTGTCAGACTTTCTTTTAGTCTAAACACAGGAAATTGGTCACAAGGGTGTGTGACATTACTGCACCGGGTCGTTGGAAATAAAAATAGCTGAAGAATATTGCTTTGACGAGAATTATCATTGACTTGGAATCTAACATTCTAAAAGTTCTTGTTATCCAGTCTAATATTTTTATTGCACTGGTGACGGTAACACTGTTGTGGTCCTTGAGCATATCATCCGTTACCTCTACTGTCTCGTTTGAATGTGTTATAATGTTCGAATTTCAATATGTTCCATATTGTAGTAACTGAAACTCGTTCTTGTTGAGCATCATAATGATTTTTGTGACCCACTGGAAGACCTGGTTCATGCACTGAAATTTACTGTGTCCTCTACTCATGCTTCTTAAATTCTAGTATCGTCTGCAAAGGATGACAGAGCAATACGATGTGTGACTGATACGAGAATAACAACAGCAGTGAGACTCAAGCCTTGGGCAACAGTGTCTTTTCCTGTGACGGCTTCTGATTTCACTTTGCTGGTTATTACCATGCGAGCCCTGTTAGAAAGTTCACAATTCATTTAAGCCTTTTTCTAGTTTTTGCTGTCGTAAGCATTTTCTGTGCTATTACACCTGGATCACACCTGTCTGTATATTACGAGTCTTCAAATACTTTCAAAACCATGTTATAGTGGCGTAGCAGGAGTGACTTGTTCTTAAAAAAAATTTGTTTGATTGGTCTGTGCAAGAGTTTCGACTACATGTTCGACAATCTTCTGTTAAATATTCTTGCATGTGATATCAGCATTTTCGCCTACAGTTTTTTTTTTTTTGTGATTGCTACGCTGCTACTTTTATGAAGTGAAGGTATATCAGTTTTTTTTAGAGTTTGAGGGATACAGTTTCACTGTTTTTAAGAACCAGTAAACAATTTAGACTGACAAGCCACATAATTTTTTAGTCATGACTGTGACATCAAACACTGCCAACACTGCTGATACAAACCCAAATCACACTGAACTCTGGATCCACTGATAACTTTCCTTTGCATTCTAGCTCAGACTTAGACTTGTGGAACACACATTCATCATATATGAAGTGTCACCGAACTTAAGCAGAGACGCCTATATATGTACTTAAGTAATGTATCGAGAGGCGTTGTTCGGCA